AAAAAAAAAAAAAAAAAAAAAAAAAAGAGAAACACACACACACACACAAAGAACTTTACGTTTTAAATTATTATTATTGGTCAGAAATTTTATGGAGACTTCCTTATGGTGTCATCTATAACTTGATTGTTTGGCACATGTCCATAGTGTATTTATTGTATGATACATGTCAATATAATATTTTTGAATAATTGTGGATGATTCCATAAACTATGTCATTCAATGACTCTATAATAAAACCGTACCTTTGGTTATCATTTTTCACCATCGTTTTTAGTTAATAACGTAAAGATTACTATTCGAGAGACATACTTGGAAAGTTTAGTTGGCAGATTTTCAGTTAAATAAGCAGATGGATATGCCAAACTTATCTAAATAACTTCTTGAACTTTTGACCTTATATTAAATTTAGCAATGCCGAGTGTTTAGATTTAGAGTATGATCGATATACTTAAATGATAACCTAACTGATAACTGATAAGTTAGATGATAATTTATAAGTGAATTACGAACTTATAGTTGATATCTTATTACTAATGGCTGACAAACTGGTTGATATAGAGATGGGCAAAAAAATTGAAATTTCCCATACCGAACCGAACCAAAATAGTCCCGTTCTAAAAATTAAGGTTCCGAAAAATTTTCTTTATGTTCGTACCGTTTTCGGTCCCGAACCATTTTACAATGTCAATATCGATTTTGAATATTTTTGTCATGAGTAATCCCGTTTATTTAGTTTGTACAAAATATTATTTATATTAGTATTATAATACTATAATTACATAATTAACTATAGGTGACTAGGTTCTGATTTTTGCATTCAGGCTTCAAAGGCAATTAGAATTTGTAAAATAAAAAGCCCAAGGCAAAATAAACAATCTGGCCAGAAATAAAACTAAACAACCCATTACCCATTAATTGGATTTGGCACAAATGCATTACTAGTACTTGAATCAGTATGACAGTATGTTTGATTTAAACTTTTAAAGGAATCAGCAAGTTCATTGTTTGTTTTAATGGAATCAGGACTCTTTGGTTGAGTTTATATATTGTTTCGTTTTGTCCCAATCATGAATGTTTTGTCCCGATCCTGAATGATACCGTTCCGTTTGGGAGGTGTCTCATCTTGAACCGTTTTCAGACCGGTTCATAAAAGCAGGATAGGTACCGGAGCAAGTCAAATCCTGAACCGTCCCCAACAGCGCCCATCCCTAAGCTGATGTGATAAAAGTGGTTGGTAAAATTAGCTGATAAGCTAGCTGAAATAAAAATTTCAACGGGCTTATTTGAAAAGTTACCCATGAAAGCTTAAAAGATAATTTCTAGCTTTTTTAAAAAGTCTCTTCTACCAAGCTAAGCTTATTTGCTTACAGAAAATTATTTGCTAAACAAATAAACTAAAAGCTAAAAAAAAGTTAGCTTACTGTGCTTACCAAACACACTCTTAAAGGGATGTTTGAATTCTTAAGATAATATTTAATATTATTTTTCTATTCATTTGACAACACATAATAATTTAATATTTGATTATTATGCCCACGTATATTATTTCAAATATACAAAATTCTATAAATTTTAAATGTGATTTTTGATAATTTAGTTATTTAGTATTTCTCAAATAGTAAAAACCTTGTTATGCATATTTTCATTGTTTGAGTCATAGTTTACCTGGTGGTTCGCCGGACATGCGACAACCAATTAGTTTATAGTTTCATTGTTATATTTTAAAGCGAAAAATAATTGACACATTTCTTATATATTTTTCAAACCTATGAGACAAAACACAGAAAAATAGTCACTTTCAAGTTTTCTTCTAAAATAAATATTATTTAATATATTTCGTAACTTATATTCTATGAGATAAATTTAGGCTCATTTGTTAATTTCAAACAAAGTTGAATAAACAATTTTCAATTTTATTTTAAATTTATGGTCCAACATTTCACTCCTACTTATTTAATTGAAATATAGTAATAATGTACCAAATTATATGAGAATAAAAATGGAACACTATAATTTTTAACAAATAAATTGATAAATATTGAAACCTAATCATCCTTGATATATGCATATATGTGGAATCGGAAAATAACCACAAAGTACGAGTAGGTCTAGGAGAGACCTAAAGATCGAGAGTAGGTCGAGGAGAGACCTAAAAACCGAGAGTAGGTTGAGGAGAGACCTAAAGACCGAGAGTAGGTCGAGGAGAGACATAAAGATGTCTTGTGGAGCAGGAGACTACTCAGAGTTATCACGACGAAGGTCTATAGTCCATGCCATATCACGACTAAGAGACCTATTTTTAGGTCTCGAGTGGCTTGATGAGTCATTATGCAGACAAAGCTACTTTCGAGAAGATGAACGTACTAACTACAATCAGACAGAGACCTAACCAAATCACTTAATGAATAGATAAGAAAGAATCTAAGAGAATAAGAGAGAATCTAATGATGACTAGGATATGACTAGGATAAGGATAAGGATAAGGTTAAACCCCGGGCAACTAGGCACGCTGACCGTGTGCAACTCGAGTAGACGAATTCGGGCAGGTTTCTCCCTATAAAAGGAGATTGAGGTACAATCACAAATATTCTTCCAACTTCTACACATTATATGCATCTAATTCTCTAGATAATAGGGATTTACTTTCTTCCATGTGTTGACTAAAGCATTGGAGACTCTATGCTGGATTCCCCTCTGACGTTGAGTTATTGCACGTCTACGCGTGACGATTCAGGCGAATTGGAGTCGTTCTCAACCAGTTCTACCTAGATCCACGTAGCGACCCATTATTTGGTGTCTTCTGCGGGGAGGCTTTTGAAGGAACTAAAAGCTTCGCACCAGACTCCAAGCACCTGAAATGGCTGAAAGAGACGTAGTGCAGATGAACTTGAGTGAGGACTTTAGAGAGGTTGGACAAACAAATGTCTTCCTCCAGTGCCCAAAATGGGACTGGCACCGTTTAATACTCAGATGTCGGTATTCGGTCTCTAACCGGAGGAGCTACCTTCACCCTTGGAGGAGAATAGTATATTATTTGCAGCGACACGGACCAGTAGACCCTCGCTAGTGACACCAGATGAGGGGAAAGGAAGCCAAGAGGTGGCAACAGGTAAGGGAAAGAAGGTCTAAGTAGGACATGGAAGTGGAGGTGACAAGGAGACTCCACCACAAAACCAATAATCTGAGGAAAAAATGGTAGTACTACCAGAGCAGAGCTGCAAAAGATGATTTCAGAGACAGTCGCATCGAGGGTGGATCAGAACACATGATCTATTGAGAAGAATGCTAGCAAGAAATGAGAGGATGAGGTGTCCTCAAAGAAGGAAACGACGAAAAGTCTTATAAAGTTTTCTTACTTTGAATATCAGTTGACTTATAGAGACTCCTAGAAAAGTTTAATTGAATTCCTGGAGACTTTTACATATTGATAAGAAGTCTTTAAAAGTCTCAACTGGATATAGGTAGATTATTTAGAAATATCAAGCATTCTAACTGAATATACTAGAATTCTAAAAGTCTTAAAACCTATTTAAATTTATAAATTCAGTACACCCCCTTGAAATTTGGAAATTTCTCGATCCTAGACATCAATCTCCGCGTCCAACTATCTCGGTCCCTCAATTATTTCTGCAAGGAGCATGTAGCCACCAGTTTGGTCGTTCTTGGCCTGCTCCATGAATAGGGATTTGAGGAAGAGTTTGGCGATGGTCAGCCTGGAGTTAAATCCATTGTGGACAACAAGCATCTCCAGGTCAATGTAATGCCAACTGAAGAGTCTAAAAAGTATTTTTCTTAATTTGATCAGTACCATTCATTAATGTTCTAATTTTGATTAACCGATTTTATGCACATTTTGAAGAATTTCAGTTGTGTATTCGTCATCTGCTACAATATGAAGATTGTGGACTCACTGATCAAACATGTGTTCCTTTGAATTTTCAGGTCAGTGCACAGAGGTCTTGTAATTTGCTAGCAATGCCCGTTGGAAGTAAGCAAAGAAAAACGTAGATACTGTTGTTCGAAAGGTGTGGCGATCTTGATTGCTTAAATATTTTAGGATATTCTGCGATCATTCACTTTAGTTGTTGTTCACAATCACTACCTCATTCTTTTGTATTCAGTTTCTTTAAAAAAACCTCACTATAATTTTATTTCACTACGATGGCAACTTGGATGGGTGGTGGGACTTTGGATGGAGTTCAAGAGATGTACATATAATTGCTCACAATCAAGTAAAGTGTAAAGCCTTGAAATTGATGATTCACATCCATGTCTATAGTCTGTAAATTCAATTATCTTAAAAGAACTAAGTGTTGTTTTTTGGAGTATATGAACTGGTGCAAGTTCTAAGCTTTACTGGTTAAGTGTAACTAATTGATCGTTCATCAGTATGATGCTCCTCCACTAGCCATTTGTGTTTTGTCACTAACAAGAAATCGTATATTATAACTTATAAGTTTGTACAAATACATATTACAGACGACAAAATGTTATTGTGGTCATGATCACTACATATTTCAATGTTGACTCTTGGATTTATTTATTTTTATTTTTTGTTTGAAATTTAATGGGAGCTAATATCCAATGGGTGATTAGCAAATTCATTGTGATTAATATATTTATATGTGTAAGCACTTAATGCAGAAATATATGTTGGATTTTAGACGTACAAATCAATCGCACGCGCAGCGGAATTTTAAAATTTTCTTACCAACAACGAAGATCCGACTATAGCTATTCGATACGATCCTAGATCGCGTGAATGATACACGAAAACTTACAGTTTAAGCTTTGTCTTCAACTATGGTATCCACGCAATTCAGATCCCGGTGCACGATCCAACGCAATGAATCCTTTTTGGTGAAGACGCTAGGAATCCTCAATCAGAAAGCTAGAGAGTGTTTTTGTGTTTTACGGCGTATCTCCTTTTCTCATCTAATGATCTAATCTCTTCTAATGAAGAGATAACCACCTATTTATAATTAGGTTAAACCTAATTATATGGACTTTAGGATAACCTAGCCCAATAGGTAATTAGACCCAATCCAATTAAAGATTTAATTATGTGTAAGTCCAATTTAACTTAATTAAATATTTTCTATCTAATAGAAAATAATCTCATTACTCAAAAATAAATATTCCAATCTAATTGAATATTTAACACTCTCGATTCACACTTAGCCAAAAAATAGATTGCATATTGTGTGACCATATAGGCCTTCATATATTGACATAAATCTAATTTATGATTCTTACGAAACTCCTAGACTGCATCAAAAGATGAACTCAAAATATGAAGTACGCTTACATAGACAAAGCAAACAAACCTTTGGTGTAGAATTCAATAGTGATACGATCCCTTCATTCACGAACCACTCGATTAAGCTTAGGATCTGAACGTGTGTCTATCCAAACAGCTTAATCATTTTATCTCATCTCACTGGTTGATTTTAGCAATTATATTTGAACACCATTTCAAATATAATCACGTGCATTAGCCAATAACTTTATCAACCCAGTATAGAGAAAACGAGTGTTCTCTCGAAACTATATTCGAGGAATGAATCCTATCTTGGCTCAACTACCAATTCCATGTATATCATGAACAACCCAACACAAGCCCGTATCTACCCATAAGGGCGTAAGCTTTGGACTAGGTCTAAGTAAATCACTCTATTCATGAGCGTATTGACCTCAAGTCAAAGGACTATTACACTATTCTACACACCGATACTCCCATAGACACATAAACAAATGGTTTATCGATAGGGTATATTAATACTCTCCAAAGTATCCATGTGTCCATCATGAATAACAATTATTCATAGCAGTGAGACATACTATATTCTCCAAGAATGTGATGCAGACCACATATCAATCTATCACGTATCATTAATATCTCTTTCTTAATGATCATCGATTGAGGCGGTTTGAGAGTTATACTTTATCAATTAACATCTCAATCTATTAATGACAGTATTAACTCAATAGAGCAATTAATTAATAAATTGCAAACAATCAAACAATTATTTAAGTAATTGCAGTACCATAATTATAATTCAATATAATTATGAATGTGATCATGTATATATGTCCTAAAAAAGATTGTCTCTAAGACAAATATACCAACAATAAATTGGAGAATAATCATTACAATGTTCGTAAGTTTCATTTGTAGCTATAATTGTTTTAACTTTCATTTTTAGAGTTCCATAGGCGCTGAAGATTTTGAGCATAAGACATCATGTGAGGTGGCTTTTCTTGTTTTTGTATCATGGAATAAAGTTATCTTTTGCTTTTTACTTCATTAGATTCAGTCTCCTAATTTGTGATATGGTCGATGTTTTTGTACCATGTTTTGACTTTATTGTTTGATAGGTATCAAGAGGATTTTGGTTGGTGCTTTTGGAAGCTTGTAGATATAGATCCACCATTATTTTTTATTATACGGTGTCGTTTATATTCTAAATATATGTTATCTTATTATTTTTTCGATTTCTTTATGTTTTTGGGACTAAAGCGTTGCTCTCACTGTCATACGTAAAATCGAATAGAAAAGATCTGGTTGAGGATGAAAAGAGCTTCAAAAGGGTGGTGCAAATTTTAGTCCCCAAGACCGAAGGTAGCAAGTGTTGTCAGAAAATGCTTTTGACGAGGGGCGTTTATTGGGATTTGCAGAGATTGGCGGAGATGGATGTTGTCGGAGCCAAGAAGGCTTTTCATAGGCTTTCGGGAAGTAGGCTAATAAGTGTTTTCTCGAGGACATGGAAATAATAATTGAAAGCGGCCACACGCTGATGAAAGCTAAATTTAACTTACCACTTGGAATAGGATAGAAGAGAGTTAATGAATGTAGATGGTTATTACAACTGGTGAATTAGTAATGATGATTTATGGAATTCATTGCTAAGCTGGACGACTTATTTATTAGGTGGGATCTGGAATTGAGTTATATGATATAATTATGAAGATTCTTTAGAATTTGAAGAGAATTACAATAGCAGGTAAAACTGAATTGGAAGCAGAAAATATGGTATGTCACTACATTCACTATCCTAATTTTCCTAGAAGAGATATAGATAATTATGAACATTATGTTCCTGTCTTCACTCTAAAATCTACAAGACTGATTGCTCATAAAATTACACAATTACGGGCAGTTGCTTCAATTGTTTCTAAAGGTGACAATAACTATTGTGCGGCTTTGAAGGGCCCGCTTTACAAATGCATGTGCAAGTCTCTATTCAGGAAACTCTACCAATGCTAAGAATCTTGAAATCTAGACTTTGCTGGAATCCAAGTACATGAATGGAATCGAGTATTTAAAGAAGATACTGTGAAAGGATATGAATCTGTTGGGTTTTATGAGGAACGTCGTTAATGTGCATATCAAAATCTATTAAAAAATGAATCCTAACACAAAAAATTCTATAGTTAGGATCAGGACTTACGGTTTAAAATTTTTGCCAACTCTAAGACGTTTTTAATATCAGTTGATGGAGATCGTCTTAGCCTTGTTGCTCGTCGTGCCTGTCTCGTCGAGTCACTCCATCCCGATTACCACGTCACATTTTTCGGTGTTCTAGTCAGGTCTCGCATTTCCTTGGGCTTTTTGTACTGCTATCGGATCGTACCCGAGCTGCTGAAGGTGGTCCAGACTCACAACGGCTCGTCTGGGTCCGCTGGTGGCTAGTTGCCGAAGGTTCTGCAGTCTGGTGCGCTGGTGGCCGAGGCTCGCGCGGTCTGTGAATGGTTGCTGAGGCTCGCGTTGTCTGGTCGTGGGGTTGTCGAGGCTCGCGCTGTCTGGTGCTGCGATCGTTGAGACATCACGCGAGAGGAGCGCTAGGATGCACGGGCCGCCCTAGAAAACATGCGAGTTGTGCTGCTGGTACACGCGGGTCACGCTGGGTAGACGCAGGATACACTGGCGACATACGCAGGTCGCGTAGTCTGCTTTGGTGCACTGTCTGGTTTTCCGGGTGAATCATACGCGATCCCTGGGAGTTGCGCGTTCTGTCTTCGATGTCACCGGGGTTGTACGCGGGTTGCGCGTGGCAACATGTGGGGGTGTGGCTGGTGGTGCTGGACACGCAGGTGGATGCATCTTCTTTTGATGGTGGATCTCTCCATGTTTCATGGTCATCCGAGGTGCCACAGAGACATTTATATTCGTATATAGTGTCGGGATGTGAAAACAAGACCTCCATTGTATGACCATTACACCTTATCTGAATCATCTTGGTGGAGCGACTAAACGAAACTCCCAAAGCATCTTGATTTTCTCTCATAAGACCTCTCGGCTTTATTCGAATTTTCTCAATAGAAGAACTCTTCATCTCCACGAGTTTATGCGTCTGGATGATTTGTACATGGAGGCTTGTGGACTTGATGTATTTTTAGGCTACAACAGGGATCATAAGGAGGTACTAAATATGAGCTCCCATGTATGGGTCTAACTGTGGGCCAACCACACCCTGCTCATACTTGGATAATGGAACATTCCTCTAGAGTAATGTTATTGAACGCCCTATTATGCTTCGAAGTACAAAGGAATTGTTTTTGAAACCTAACTCATCATGATATGCTCCAAACCCAATCATTCAGAACTCAAATTAAGCAATTTGAATTCGAAGGCAATAACTGGGGCATGCATTTTGTTAGCTACGAGGATTTGATCCGTTAAAAAGTAAAATTAATTATCAGGAATAGACATACAATCCTCTATTGTTTTAAAACCATAAAACAGAGCCCAAATATTTTCAGGTTCTAAAAATAAACATCAATTACTCATAAGGCTTCTTAAATATTCAATATGAAAAGACTCTAGTACCATTTTTTGGAGTTAACTTCATACGGAAACCACTGCTTCAATCCAAGAGTTTTCATATTGAATAATCGAGAACCATAACCGAACAAGGGAAGCGTACTTGAATTTATAGGCGATTGATTTGGGGATTTGCTTTACACGTATGTGCTCCTTTCGGAGAACTTTTTAACTTTCTCCATAGGCTCTCAAAGCTTGTACGCTGTTACGTATCTCCTAGAGATCACAACTCTTTATATAAACTAAGTTATATTGGACATCCCTATTTTAGCTCATCATTAAAATAGAGAAAATTCATTAGTCTCTATTATATATGACCACGGGCCAAACCAGCCCTGAACTGGCCCATGGTCAACGGGCCCAAAACCGAGCTCGTGGTTTGACCAGGTCAGTTTCAGGCCACATATATGTCATTTTTGAACCGCCGAGCCGGTTCCGTACCAAAAATGGAACCGGTGGTTCGACGCTTTTTTATGTTTTTTATTATTATTTTTTTTTATAGAACAAGGCTGGCCCAGAACTTAAGCTTCACCGAACCGGGCCGGAATGCTGGTTCACTAAGCCGACCCTTGCATAAGTTCAGGCCGTTTCAAAGTCATCCAACTTTGATCTGGGACTGGACTTGGCAATATCTAATCTCTACACATTCAAGGTCCACACAATAATTTAAAACATAATAACATAATTCATTATTAATTATTTTTATTCGACTTCTTTATTTGACACCCACAATACAATAATTATTTTACATATAAGTTCAATGTTATATTAAAGATCCGTGTTCATTAGAAATTATGTGGTATTAAATATTTTCAAAGGCTTATAAAATCGCGTGAAATTTCTACACAGTACTAGATAATGTGAAGGGGAAGATACAACGATTTAGACAGAACGAAATAAAAAATAAAAAATAAGAAAAAAATGGAAATGAGTAGTGAATTTAACTAATTTAACAACTTAAATTTGACTCAAACATTGCAGTCAAAACTCAAAACCAGCGGATTTTCCAAATTCTATTGGCAGCCTATTTTGCTATATCAGTAGTTATGCCAAATGTCATTTAAGATGTNTCAACGAGTTTTCATTGGTTTTGAATGTATTCTCTTATACTAATCTATTATCTATTATCAGAGTTATTTATTTCAAAACAAACTATATTATATTTTTCATTTATTTAACATAACGATTGATTTAATACTAAACTATTTATCTTAATAACAGGGTCGGCCCTGGGCCAGGGCTACTTGGGCGAGCCCAAGGCCCAATTCTTGGGAGGGGCACCGGCCCATACTCTGCCTATATATGTTCTAGTAGCTAGTTTGTTTCCATGAACTAAAAATGATAGAGACTCACAACTCACAAGGATTTATTATCAGGATTCAGTTGACTTTTTATATTTTCCATAACATAATTCCCTCACACACCAAAACCACCCAGACTTTTTTTTTTTTTTTNTATAAAATTTATATATATTTAATACTCGCTCCTATTCATAATAAGTGTCGTTTTGGGAAGTTGCACACTTTAATAATATTTTTTTTGTCAATAATAACCCTCATTAATGAAGATAGAGATGGATGTTTTTAAAAAAAAAAAGATGAAGAGAATATGAAAAGACGTAGTGTATTTATTAACTAAATGAGGGTAATAATGGAAAAATATGTACAAAAGATCCAAAACGACATTTATTTTGGTTAATAGTTGATAAAGCCAAAATGACATTTAAAAAGAATAAGAGGTAGTATTTATTTTGTACCTATTTATGGTTTATTTGTAATTCTTATATGCTTTACCCCTTTTAGTTATGTATTGTGAGAGTTATTTTTTTTTATAGCTCAAACATAATGACAAATTAACGAAAGATCAATAATAATTAATATTATAATAAATTCATATTATTTTATGTATTTAAGATAATCTTGATAAGAGTTTAATTATAGTTTTACTTATTAATTATCTTTAGTTAACATATCTTACAAAACACATCATTCTTATGACATATAAAAACCATTTTTTTAAGTTTTAACCATGCCACATTTAGCAACAAATTAGTCTAGGCATTAGAAGGATATTACATGAAATTTTGATTATGGTGATACAATTGATACATTTTTTTGCTAAAAATTCTAAAGAAACTTTTAAGTTATTTTACTATAACTATAATTTTGCCGCTAAAAAAAGTTTTTGTTGGTCAATTAATTTTTTGATGTGCATGAAATTTATATTGATATCATTTTGTAAAAGCACTCAAGTGTTATCTATTGGAAGATGAAAGAGCGTCAATAACCTTTATATATGTGATGAATTGTGAGCTATTGTGATGAGGTTGTGCCTTACATAAGAGATTATACAAATTAATATGTCTAGCAAAATAATTATTTGGCCATTGTTGATAATATATATATACTTATATTTATAAAATATTTGAGGCACTATTTTTGCATTTGGCCCAAGGTCAAATAATGTTCAAGACCGACTCTGCTTAATAATTTTTTTAATAACAATTGTTAAACGTAAATGTAGCACATACGCTTCAAACACAAACCCCGAAAGATACACATCATTTCAACATATTAATTGTGATATATACTCTCTAAAATTGTTATATTTCATTAAGAGATTTCATATCAAATGCAATCAGAAGATACAATGTCAAATGAAACAAAAAAATGAAAGATATTGCATGTTGACATATTCTTGAGGAAATCAATGTTCAGTCATGGTGAAATATACGCAGTTGTTTCACGCATTACAAATCATAAGGGTTTGAAGATTTTAATTTATGGCAATGACGATGTACCAAAAACTCAAACAAAAAATGTTGAATACAAAGAGATGTTTAATAATATATAGATAATATATTCTTTTATTCAAATAAATACATTTTATATTTTAAACAATGATCTCATCATCTAAATCAAAATATTTCCCTTAATATTACTAACCCCTACATTACACAGGTACCACAACATCAGCATACTTGCGCCCTTTAACTAAAAATAATTATAATTATTTCAGGACATTTTGGTTTATATAAGAAAATCTGGAATTACTCAAAACAACAGAATTGTTATAATTATGCCGGCAGGATAATTTATTCGAATGAAGAAATAAAGTTGTCTTTGTGTTTTCTTTTTTATTGTACATGTCATATTAGATAAACATTTACCCAAAATCCTCACAGGCAAAAATGAAATAAAATATAATAAAATAAACTCCGTGTTTTTTATGTAGTTCAGTCCTGGTTGTCCTCTTATCAAATTTGGGCTGATCCTTCTTCGTGGCTGCTTCATGATCCATCTGTAAAGGTTGCCCGTACCAATCAAAATCTCTAAATATTCCGCGTTTTCACAAAACCTATATATACCCAATCAATCCTCACTTCACTCTTCAGAATCAAACCAAACTCAATTACTTCAATCTAACTTCGAAAACAGAGAAGATTCAATTCACAATCTTTAGCCTCTCACCATACCCAATTCCTAATTTTCAGAGTTAATATCGACAACCAGTTACCATTCCAACCTTCGATGGAGAGGCACGAGCAGTACGAGCGCGTCTTCACCCGCTTCGACTCGGACGGCGACGGAAGGATCTGCCCGGCGGAGCTCCGGCGATGCGTCGGCTCTATGGGCGGCGAGATGACGGCGGAGGAGGCGGAGGCCGCGGTGGAGCTGATGGATTCCGACGGGGACGGACTTCTCTGCCTGGATGACTTCCTGAGGATTGTGGAAGGCGCCGGGGATGAGGAGAAGGCGGGAGATCTGAAGGCGGCGTTCCAAATGTATGTGCAGGAGGGAGGCGCGTGCATCACACCCAAGAGCCTAAGGAAGATGCTGTCCAGGCTGGGGGAGAGGAAGAGCGTGGGCGAGTGCAGAAATATGATCGCTCGATTTGATCTCAACGGCGATGGGGTTCTCAGCTTCGATGAGTTCAGGCTCATGATGTCTAGTTGAGAAGACGCAATAAACGACGTCGTCTGTACCGATTGCTACTATTCATTTATGTGGATTAGACTGATTAGACTTTTTTTTAGCTTTGGGAAGTTTTTTTTTCCTTTTTTTTTTTTNTTTTTTTTTTTTCACATGTATATTTGCAGACATTGTTATACACGTTTATAAATAATTTTTTGCACTAGCTTTTTGGATCGGAGCAATACTTTTCAGTCGCAAAGATTCATTTTTGCACCGTCTTGAATTTGCTACGTGCTCGGTAGATCGTGGATTGGAGCCTAGCGAACCGGGAACTAGACGGCACCTAGATAGGATTGAGAATGTGGGTGTCTACTGTCTAGACGCAACCAAGACGACAAGGTGTCCGCCTAGCCACCTAGACGCGAGTATCTGCACAACTGCCTACCCTGTTTAGGCGCCGCCTAAGTATTGGAGCGTCTATAACGACCGTCTAGGTAAAAGTCTTGGCGCACCTAGGTGAGGTTTAGCATCTAGGCAAACTTTCAGTGAGAAAGAGTCGTAGTGAAAGAAATAAGAATACATCGTGGTCATTGGATCGGATGATCTAACGGTAACAAAAAAAATCTAACATTTATTTAGTCATTAAGTGTATTCTGGACATTTTGGTTATAAACCTGTGGGTCAGTGCCAACTAATACTCACCACCCCAATGGTTTAATGCCACGTGGCCATTACACATCACACCCCACCCACCCTCTCTCACACACTGACACACACATACATAAATCATAACACACGCATGCACCCTACCCACCCTCTCACCCTCTCTCACACATTGACACACACACACACACACACACATATAATTCAAAACACACGCACGCGTTACACACACCAAAATACACATAGGACAAACACCAAAACACACACACACACACACATACGTGACACACATGCATCACGCATGCACACACACACACACACACACACACACACATTGCCGGCGAACACACACACACCGCCGGCAGCGTCACACACACGTAGCACAACCTCCCCGCCTTAGTCGTTGTCATCGCCGCTGCCGTCACGCCTCCGCCACGCCACATTTCAGGAAAATCTCATCCGATTCCTCAGCGTTGCGGCATCTTCGTCAGCCGTCATGATTCGTCCCCGGCGACCTTCCATTGGCGGCCAATCGTCGCTTTGTCTCAACAGACAACCCTCCATCGCCGACCATACTCATATCCGGCGACCTTCGCCTTTGGTTTGGAGGAGTTGCAAGGTGGAAAGCTTTGAACGGTGCTCTCGCCGGATGGTCTGCCCCTGCCAGAAACTCGCGCCCTCACTGATGGGAGTGATGGTGGTGATATAGGAGGGGGCTGAAATCAAAATTTATGGATGTTAGATTTAGGGTTTTATTTTGAGAATTAGATTATGTTAAGGGACCTAATTGTAAATTTAGTAATTTTATTTATATTTCAATTTAACTCATAGGTCAAATCTGCAATTTACAAAAAAAATTGTTAGATTTAGGGGTTTTATTTTGAGAATTAGATTATATTTAGGGACTTAATTGTAAATTTAATAATTTTATTTATATTTCAATTTAACCTATAGGTCAAATCTGAAATTTACAAAAAGTATATAAGAGAATACTATTATTATATATCTCTTAAATATAACATAATAACTAAAAATATTAAATAAAAAATAAGATAGAATATTAAAATATTATTGGACATATTGCACATTATTGACTGACGTGTTGCACTTTTGTGTTAGTGAGATTGCACCTTAGCATAACAAATGCACCATGATGTTAATTAAATTAATAATATAAAATATTAAATACAAAATTATAAATACTGAATATATTTTTATTACATAAATAATATGATAAATGCACAGTAGTTTTAATTAAGTTACACATTATTAAAAAATTTTAATATTGAAATGCATGTTAGTGTTCGGTTACAATTTGGTTGGGACGAAAGTTCGGTTATTACATACTGCACATCGCAGCCGAAAAAAGTGCACATTAATGGCTGCCAGGTTGCAATTTTGTGTTTGTGATATTGCACTTTAGCGTATGTACCGACCGAAATAAACCGAAATATATATATATATATATATAAATATATATCGATTCGATGTTCGTTCTTTAATTTTAAAAAAATGGTTATTTTGATTCAATTTCAGTTTTTCTTTTAATAATCAACCGACCGACGTACATAAAAAATAATATTTTTTTATATTTATAATATAACTTTCAACAAAAAAAATATAAATATATTAAAATAAAAATATTAAACTACTAAATATATTTTTATGATATAATTTGTAAATTGTTTCATTTAATTAGATCAATTTGGTTAATCGAACTACTAAAAAAATTACTTTGGTTGTGTTTTAATTTGTTTTGGACAAGTCATTAAAAAACAATACAATGCGATTGCACATTACCGTATTGCTAGTTGCACATTAATGACTATAGGCTTACACAAGTATCGACCAAACCCGAACAACTAAAATTACAAAATTTATTGTGCATTTTCTCACATAATTTTGTGCATTTTATATATCATTAATGTGCATGTGTTTGACTTTTAATAAATTACAAAATTGTAACGAGTACTAAAATGCAATATACTAAAAGTTATGAAATTGCATAAAGGTCCTTGTAACTTATCTAATTTAATTTCTAAAACAAGTCCATATCCCTAACAAGCTTCATCCTCCCGTCACTGTCACTGTCGCTCAGCGTCGGACCTCTCCCGTCGACCTGGAAGCTCTCGCCGTGAAGGCCATGATGTCAGTCGACCGTCGGCTCTCCTCCGCCTGGTGCTCCGACGAGAATGGCGAGCTCGTTCTCTGTCTATTCTCAACGGCGATACTCAGCACTCAAGCCGCCATCTCGACGGCGTCCGTAGCGACGGCTCGTTGCGTATGTTGATGGCCCTGAGCAGCGACATATGACTTGGAAATTTTCTCCAGTTGATTCTCTCCGAAGTTTTAAAAACCCCACCTTGGTCGGCGAGTCTCCGACGAGATGGAGGGACATGTCATATTGCAGACGGCAGCAAGAAGCTTGTGTCGGTGGGAGGCGGGGTGGCGGATGGCTGCCGGTGGCCATGAACTACGGGCTGCAGATTGTGGGTGTTGGGTAAGAGATTGTGCGTGAGAGAGGATGTTGAGGGTGGGGCCCACTGTATGGGTGGATGAGTTGTAATATTATGTGTATTGTTCGTTTTACCTTTACTAAGTGGACAAATATGTACATTTGACCACAATTTATAAGTTAAATTACCATGTTGTCATTAATTATTGACCAGATTTTAAGTTAATCCTAACCATTGATATGATGTATCTAATGATCTAGATTTATTTTCATTTCTTTGACTCTTCCTTTCTCATTTGATCCCAATTCAATATTACTATCACTATTACTATTATTATTATTATTATTATTATTATTATTATTATTATTATTATTATTACTATTTGATATAAAGTACCATACCAAGTTGAGTACGATCCAAGGAGCGGTTCGAGTTAACCAAGTGGACCGGCAGGTCGATCAGACATCAAAAGTTCCAGAGATCGAAGAATCGTTAGGTCGATGACGACTTCATAGGCACATGAGCTCACTAACAGGCCGAGCTAGGGCTCTCGACTAGCCTGATATAAACTCGACCTGGAGGCAATCAGGTTGATGGCTAGAGGTCGAAGCAACTTGGTTTAAGAGAAGCTGAGCTGGTCACTCTATAAAATGGAGTGAAGTATGACCATTTTATACTCTACATGCACTAATATACTCACAAATTATACAATTACAGTTTATCATTTTCCTCCTACACAATCTGACTTGATCATCGCATTCTCTACACCGAGACCACTCACGGCGCTGTTTTGCATGTCTATCGAACCGGTCAAGTGTGGATCCAAGCTCGTCGGATCTGGTCGAGGTCGTTCGCTCACCATTAAATTAATATTATTATTATTATTATTATTATTATTATTATTATTAAATAGTTTTATTAGAAATTTAATAGATTGTGGTTGAATTTATTGAAAATTTTGTTCTCCTATAAATTTATCAAAATCATTTGAGTCCATTCTAACTGGAATCTATTCAAATCCATAAAAGTTTTTACAATAATAGGAACTAGTACAACATTCATGTATTACATGGGTGGAGATGGTGTCTCATCCCCGACCGTTCATGAACGGATTCATAAAAGTGGGATCGTTATCCGGACAAATCAAATCCAGGACCGTCCCGGACCGTGCCCATCCCTACCATAAATAATCAACATATTTATAGCTCATCCGAACCTAAATATTTTTGGATTAAAAGTAAATTAAATCTACCCAAGCCTAATAACGAAGCATATAATCTTGCCACATAGGATCCCGAAGTATGCGAGCCTGCCACATAGGCTCAGCACGTTCTGAATTAATATATAAGGGGAGTTGAGAATGATCAAAATTTATTTTTTTATACGTTATATATCCTATCTTTAAAATTAACTTTCACAATAATAATGTGAAAGTTACGGAGCCATCGGATGGCTCCCTTATGGAGCCATCCATACCTTTATGTATTGACACGTGTCCAATGTGTATTTATTGCAGGACACGTGTGAATACACCATTTGCGAAAAACTATGGATGGCTCCATAAGTCGAGCCATCCGATGGCTCCATAGCAAAACCGTAATTTACATAACCTGTATCAAACTATATTTCAAAATTGTTAGGCACGTAGGAGGCGATTGTATATGAATTGTACCGGAAAAAAACCAATCAAAACTCAAATTTAACTCAACTCTACTATCTCTAATATTGGTAATATAATTAAATAATATCAATCAATCATTCTTACACATCACATCAACTTTAATTCACTATTTATCCACTCACATAATTTAACTAACTATCACTTTCAATCATTTTCTCCTACTTTTGTATCAAATCAACTTTAATTATTTTATTTTAAATATAATTTTAATATATCCACTAACAATTAACCATACTACCTTTTTTTCAAACTTAACTATAATTAAAAAAAAATCATTTTTTTACTAGTTAAATTTATATCCAAGCCCGTAATGTTTTACCATAACCAGAGGATTTTTCTGTCTGGTTTCGTTTACATCTATACCCAAATTTCTGTCTGGTTTCGTTTACATCTATACCCGAATGTCGGTCTGAAGCAGACTTGTTGAATAATTTAGGTCCCCTCCCTTGACAATAAATAATATCAGTGATAATTAAAAAAGAAAAATATCCGACGTGTTTCTTGTGGAGTGCTAACCGTATAACCTTCCACGTCAACAAACCTTTGGCTGGGCCTTCCCAGCTGCTTCCCATCTTTCTGGAAAATAGGCAAATAGCGGCCCATTTGCCGCCCCAACATTATTTTTTTTAAAAAAAAATAGAAGTAAAAATAATAGTCAACATCCAAATACGCGTTTCTTCTACAAACCTATATATACAACTGCAATCAATCTTGCATTCATTCCACAAATCAAAGAAAGCGCAACTCAATTAACTTCACAAAACCAAATTAATTAACAGAACTAAACTCAGAAAGACAAATCAAATGGAGAGGCACGAGCAGTACGAGCGCGTCTTCAGCCGCTTCGACTCGAACGGCGACTGCAGGATCTGTCCGGCGGAGCTCCGGCGATGCGTCGGCTCGATCGGCGGCGATATGACGGCGGAGGAGGCGGAGGCCGCGGTGGCGCTGATGGATTCCGACGGGGACGGACTCCTCTGCCTGGAGGACTTTCTCAGGATTGTGGAAGGCGCGGGGGATGAGGAAAAGGCGCGAGATCTGAAGGCGGCGTTCCAAATGTATGTGCAGGAGGGAGGCGCGTGCATTACACCCAAGAGCCTGAGGAGGATGCTGAGCAGGCTGGGGGAGAGGAAGAGCGTGGGCGAGTGCAGGAATATGATTGCTCAATTTGATCTCGACGGCGATGGGGTTCTCAGCTTCGATGAATTCAGGCTCATGATGTCTTAGGTGGAGATAAAACCCGGTTTAGTAATTGTACCTCTTTGCTACCATTCATTTGTGTAGATTAGATTAGACTTTAGCTTTGTTGTTTTTTTATTGTTTTATTTTTTTTATTTGTATATTTATTTACAGCCATTGTTATATATAGTTCATATACATTGTTTTGATTTTTGCGCAGCCTTTTTTNATAATATGAGGTGGCATTTTATTTAGCTCTCGTGAATGATTGCATGGACATAATATTTTGATAATGAAGTAAGTTTTATAATTAGTAAATGTATGGAAATTTAATATTAGGTCGGTTGCTACTTGCATTGTCAATTGGCTTAGGTTGGACTTAAAAGCAACAAGATAAAAATAACAAAGTTGAAATATAACATAGAATTCAGTATTTATATGAGGAACGTTATTCCTTCCAAAAATGCTTAATTATAAGTTGTCAGAACTTTATTGATGAGGGTACGCACTAGATGTTAGAAGACTTATTAGTGTCGAAATACACGGGAATATTTCTACGAAATTTTGAAAAAGGATTATAGCCAAGATGGGTAAATTCTTTCCGCAAGACGAATGCGTCACGTGTATTGTTAACGCTTCATGCGTATCGACAGTCGTCTCGAAACGAATGTGTGTATGTTGACTATTGTGCTCAATCCTCACAAAACACTATTACATTAGAAAATGTAGCTTTTGGTTTTGAACCTCTCTTAGTAAATATCATCGGATGTACTGGCGGCTAGCTTAATGAACATAATTCATTGAACTATTTCTCCATAGTGTACACCAAGACAAAGATATTCACACAATAGAGTTTTACCTCTATTTCGTTCTATTGTTATGTCCGTTTTTGCTATGGACAACACTTTCGATTCATAAGTATTTATATTTGAAGCAACCCTCACTGCATACTTATATAGGTAATCTATCAAGAGTATCTTGTATTACTCCACCTATAAAAGGTTATAGATTCATTAAAAGGCTAGATGACTTAACCTTACCACAATCAACAGGTAATCTTCTACTTGGATTGTATTGCCCTATTGGTTGAAAAACAAAGGCGCCCATTGGTTGAAATATAATGGCTTTGTAGTGCTAAAGAAAGGCGCCTATTGGTTGAAAAAATGAGGATTTTTGGACACATTCCATGAAAATGACGCGAGCAAAGACTTCACTAATAATGCTTCGTAGAAATGATGCAGGTGTAAAACTTCTATCATTCTACGACTTATTAGCATCAATTGACCATTTCTATGCTTATTAGTTCCCTCTCCTACGCCTCATACTCGACACGTTTCTTTTCGAAATAATATAATAATTAATATAAAAACGAAAGAAAGTCTTCTAGTAGTAGTAGTTCCCATCTATTTCACAGTGAACGTGTTTACAACGGAAAACAAAATATCTCGTATATGTATTGTGACTTGATATGTCAG